TGAAAGAAGATAAAGAAAAATATGATTTGAGAGACTACTTTGAAAAGTATGGCAAGATTGAAACCATAGAAGTTATGGAAGACAGGCAGAGTGGAAAAAAGAGAGGATTTGCTTTTGTAATTTTTGATGATCATGATACAGTTGATAAAATTGTTGTTCAGAAATACCACACTATTAATGGGCATAATTGTGAAGTGAAAAAAGCTCTTTCTAAACAAGAGATGCAGTCTGCTGGATCACAAAGAGGTCGTGGAGGTGGAGCTGGCAACTTTATGGGTCATGGAGGAAATTTTGGAGGTGGTGGAGGTAATTTTGGCCGTGGTGGAAACTTTGGTGGAAGAGGAGGCTATGGTGGTGGAGGTGGTGGCAGCCGAGGTAGTTATGGAGGAGGTGATGGTGGATATAATGGATTTGGAGGTGAGGGTGGCAACTATGGAGGTGGTCCTGGTTATAGGAGTAGAGGGGGCTATGGTGGTGGTGGACCAGGATATGGAAACCAAGGTGGTGGATATGGTGGCGGTGGTGGAGGATATGACGGTTACAATGAAGGAGGAAATTTTGGCGGTGGTAACTATGGTGGTGGTGGGAACTATAATGATTTTGGAAATTATAGTGGACAACAGCAATCAAATTATGGACCCATGAAAGGGGGTAGTTTTGGTGGAAGAAGCTCGGGCAGTCCCTATGGTGGTGGTTATGGATCTGGTGGTGGAAGTGGTGGATATGGTAGCAGAAGGCTCTAAAAACAGCAGAAAAGGGCTACAGTTCTTAGCAGGAGAGAGAGTGAGGAGTTGTCAGGAAAGCTGCAGGTTACTTTGAGACAGTCGTCCCAAATGCATTAGAGGAACTGTAAAAATCTGCCACAGAAGGAACGATGATCCATAGTCAGAAAAGTTACTGCAGCTTAAACAGGAAACCCTTCTTGTTCAGGACTGTCATAGCCACAGTTTGCAAAAAGTGCAGCTATTGATTAATGCAATGTAGTGTCAATTAGATGTACATTCCTGAGGTCTTTTATCTGTTGTAGCTTTTTCTTTTTCTTTTTCTTTTCATTACATCAGGTATATTGCCCTGTAAATTGTGGTAGTGGTACCAGGAATAAAAAATTAAGGAATTTTTAACTTTTCAATATTTGTGTAGTTCAGTTTTTCTACATTTTAGTACAGAAACTTTAACAAAATGCAGTTTTGAAGGTGTTTCCTTGTGAGTTAACAAGTAAAGAAGATCATTGTTAATTACTATTTTGTATGAATTTTGCTAAAGTTAACTGTAAAGAAACACCTGCTGACTTGCAGTTTAAGGGGAATCTATTCTCCCCATTTCCAAACCATGATATGAATGGGTGCTGACATGTGGAGAGAATAGATATTTGTATGTTTGCAATGTGTGTTTTAGATAAATAGGATTGGGTATTTAAATTAGCATATTTGTGAATTTAATAGCGTTAAGATTACCTTCAAATGAAAAATTTCAAAATTCAAAAAATAAATAAATAAATAAATTGTGATGTGAGTAAAAAGGAGAGGCACAAACAGATCCAAGGTAGGAACATTCCATAAGCAACACTTGCAGCCAACAGTCCCAAGGCAGGTACGGCCTTAAAAAAATAAATGTGCGGGCCGGCCCTGTGGCGCACTCGGGAGAGTGTGGCGCTGGGAGCGCGGCCCGCCGCAGGTTCGGATCCTATATGGGGATGGCTGGTGCGCTCACTGGCTGAGTGCGGTGCGGGCGACACCAAGCCAAGGGTTGCGATCCCCTGACCGGTCACACACACACAAAAAGACAAATAAATAAATAAATGTGCAAGTAGATGGTCACTGTGGCTGCTACAGAGTGAGCCAATGGGAAAGGGGAACAAGAGGATATTAGAAGAAAGGCAGGGTTGACCAGCTCATCTGTGTCCCTGCAGGCCACATCACAGACCATGGAGTTTGTTACAAGTACAATGGGAAGCCATTACAGATTATGAAATAGGAAAGTGGCACGCTCCCTTTATACTTCTAATTAGATTGATCTGGCTATTCTGTGGTTTTGACTAAAATGACAGCAGTAAAGAAGAAAAGGGTAGGATTAGGGTATGTTCCAAATACAGAATCAGCAGGCCTCATTACAGTGTATGCGAAAGGAGGAAAATAAAGAAATCAAGGGTAACTCCTAGGTGTTTGGCTCGGGTAACTGGGTAGAGTGTAAAGCATGAGGTAAGACTTGGGGAGGAACATGATAGAGAGGGGAAATCAAGAACTCTATTTAGGACATGTGAAGTCTGAAGAGGTGTCAAACAGACAGGTGAATATAAAGGTCTGGCGTTAAGGGGAGTATGCAGGGCTAAGAACTTTAAGGTGTAGGATAGAGTGGGACTACCTGCAGAGAAAGCACAGTAAGAAAAAAGAAAGAGGGCTCAGAACTAAGCTCTGGACTAGTGCTCCCAAATTTCAGGAGTGAGCTAGGTGAGGTGGCACAAGAGACTGAAAATGAGACAGGAATGAGACAAGAAACCAACAGTCAACAAGTTTTAAAATTCCCATTCAAATAGTTAAAAAAGAAGAAGTAGAAGAAGAAAGACAATTTTAACTATGTAGAATTCGGCCGAGAAGTAGGATAAAACAAGAAAGGGAGTGACTTTGGGCAACAAAAGATGTCATAACAATAAACCAAACTGAGAATTTCAAGAGTTTATGAAGTGTTTAAGAAGCAAGATAAGAGAGACAGTGTGGGTCATGTTGCACTTTCAGATGACCTGCTACTGAAGTGCTCTCCATTATTCCAGAGTGGCACACTAACATGGTTAAAAGGCCTGAAAAGGAAAACAGTGAAATGCTCTAAACTATATAATTTATATTGTATATATATAAAAACAAACTGCTCAGTAAAGGGTACATCGGGGTTTCATTGCCCTATTCTCTCCCCCTTTTGTTTAGGATGAAAACTTTTTGTAATAAATACATATTAAAAGACAATAAGAAGAAACTGGAGGTGAGTCATATTCCTTGTATTTATTTACCTAAAACAAAACAAAATTTCAAAAATACAATTCAGTAATATACGTTTAGTAAAGGGGAAAAAAACTAGACTTACCAAACTTTTTGCAGAAAAGCTGATCTACCATTTTTCTTAATTTAGTGATTCTGGCATACCACTCTTCCTTTACTGTAAGAGTAACAAACATACAAATCTTATCAATTTGGTGGCTTTAACAACTTAGGTTATTAAATATTATAACTATTAAAAAAAGCAGTATTACTTTTCCTCTCTCTGTAAGTAAAATTACTTCTAAGATTTCAGAATGTGCTTATTATTAAAACAATGCTGACACTAAACAAAAAGAATAAGAACCAAAGTCAAAAGAAAATAGCAGAACTTTATTTACTCAAAAAACTAGTAGGCAATTTTTGCTATGATAAATTTAGTGGTATGAGAGTGCTGGCAAATCCATTATACACATATTCTGTTATGTCCCCAGCGCACTCCACTCCAGAACAAAGGCAAGCAAGAAAATAAATTGTGTTTGTGTTTCCTTCCAAACATGTCTGACAAGCAAGTGATGATACCCATCGCTACATTTTCTGAGAAGTAATCTTTTTATGTCCTGGGTGTAATATACATCTGATGAATGGTTTTTCAATTGATTAATGTAGACTAGGATAATGAACTGTTCAACACACTGTGCCAGTTAACTAATTTTGCATCTCAAAAGTAGAACAGACATGGTTCTTTTAGTTCTATCTAAACAGAAATTCAGTAATTACATTTATTTATAATGGGTTATTAATAAGAAAATGAGTTTATTCTTCTATGGAATATTAGAATTCCAGCAATGTGAATTTTTCTGTAACAAGATACAACAAAGACATTGCTTCATGTGGAAGGTATCATAAAGAAGAAATAAATATCTCTTCAAGTAGTAAATCATTGTACATAATGTTCTGATGTGATTCCTACCTCCTGAAGCTGGTTTATCAAGCTGTAAATCTTCACGTGTTGAATTCAGAAGTTCATGTCTAAAAGATGAGAGTAGTTGTAAAATATTCCCTAGGCAATACTTATCAAATTAATAACCACTAGTACATATTTAATTATCCAGTCACCAAGGCCAGTTTTAAAAAGAAAAGACAATCTGGTGCTTGAGCACAATTAAATCTTAATTTGAGGTTTCTACAGAGTAATAATGCAAAGTAACTGCAAATTACCTCACAGGTACTTCATGGAGAACATGTCCTCACAGTAAAGTACCTTTGCAACGCAAAAGTATTGTGAGCACAGCACAAAAACTTTAAATGGGATCCTTTAATTTCACATTACATTCAAGACTACTTTCCTCCACACATCTATAAACTGGCATAAAAGTTCAATAAATTAATAAATATATAAATTAACATTCATTTGCAGGACAAGATAAATGTTTTGCTTATATTTCATAATAATCAAACAGCCCATAAAACATAACTCATAAAAATGGAATTTTCACAAACTTACACATCCCATATTATCACTGTACTGTACACTGTTGTAATGACCTAAACTAAGGGGGTCATGAGTGGTACACATAATATCTGAACAATATTAGTGGGCTGTGAAATAAAACATTTACTAAACTCTGTAGAAACATCCTTCTTAATGAACAGTTACTAGTCTTATATCAAGACTCACTACATAAACCTTTAGGAAAAGGCTAAAAAGTCCAATCTCTTTAAATGTGCAAGATGGATTTCCATATTGAAAAATCCTGAAGCAGGATGTGCATAGCATAAAGTACTTGTGATAAGCTTAGTTAGGTAAATACTTAAACATCCAAAAATACACTAAAGTTATATATGCTTTTAGAATTATCAAACATCAACAAAACCTGTAAAACAATTTGTATTTTTCTTTAAGTATTGTATCTTTTAAAAATTTCAAAACTTTTTACAAATTAAAAAACAAGCAATTTAATAAAGTGACAGTACAAAAAAATTCTTAAAATGATACACTTTGGGCCAGCCCGTGGCTCACTCGGGAGAGTGCGGTGCTGATAACACCAAGGCCCCGGGGGTTCGGATCCCATATAGGGATGGCCGGTTCGCTCACTGGGAGAGCGTGGTGCTGACAACACCAAGTCAAGGGTTAAGATCCCCTTACCGGTCATCTTTAAAAAAAAATGATACACTTTATTATATCAGAGTACTGGGGATTGAGGAATGCTTGCTTCTGCTTTTTGGCTAGTGTCAAGCTTTTTCAGAAGAAGCCCATTTTGTTTATGATTCAATTTCCTGAGAAACCACTAAATCTTTAAACTACAATGTGTCTAAACAGAAAAAAATACCCTTTAGCAACAACTTGACCTGTGGAAGACAACTACTGCAAATGAAATGACTACTATTCTACTATATTACTCAGAGTTCACTGTTTATACCTCAAGGATATGTCAGAAAACTTAAAAGATCTGTTACCATATGCACTTGACTTAATAAACACGCACTATAGAAAGACTTAAAAACGAAAGTTACATATTTCAGAAGCAAGTCGATCTCCACTCCCTGGGGGTGATTTCTGCTTCATCTAAACACACTGTGCTGGGGATTTTGGCTTCATCTAAACCCTTTCCCTTGCTTGTACCTGCTTTGGGAATAAGCACTTGACATTAATTCTTTTTTTTTTTTTTTTCTGCTCATGAAGCATTTTATTATTGCCCCATGTTTAAGAATTTTCACTGATAGAAAATCAACCCTTTCAGGGGTTGATCAGCACATAGCTCTGCTCAGCTTCTGAAACTTGATTTTTGCAGACATATTAATGTATTTCTCTGCAGTATGGACAATAATGCCATCTATGATTGACAGATCAGTTATAACTTCTAAAAGAACTTCCAAAAGAAGCTTTTCAGGATTGTTTTTAATTAAATGCTTCCTCTAAAGAGATGCAGTGGTTATTGTGCAAGGTACTTCACCATGGTGGGTGCTCATCATGCTAGAAAAGGCAGAAAAGACTCCTTGGGTACTGTTTAAGCGACAATTTCAGCAAGCAAAGCGACCAGGTTGGATGTAAGGGGAGAAAACCTTTCTTTTGCCGTGATGTCATTTAGGCTTTTCACTTTCATGGAACACTTACCACAGGGATTCAGATTAGAAGCCGCCACTATGGGATCCTTCAGGAGCTGCGTGCTACACCCAACAACTCCTATCCAACTTGTCCCAGTTTATTCTCTTGAGATGCAGCAGAATAAAGAGCAGTGGCATAGCGACTTTCAATGTCTTTATCTAACAGGTGGCCTCAGAAGCTTGGCAAATGGCCTGGCCACAGATGTACTAAAGCATCACACCTACCAGGAGAGCCCGGACAAGGCCCTCATTTCCCAGGTGGCTGTAGGTCAAACCCCGCTTCACATAATTCTAACTAGAAAATTCTAACTAGTGGCCATACTCCAAAGTTTTCTTGCTCTGAGAGAAATACAGTAGCTGCTGTCTCTACTTCCTAGACGTGAGGCCAGGAACTACTGCACCCAGCTCATTGCTAGACTAAGGAAACTATCAGCACGTGGACAGAAGAGTGGGGAGAAGAACAGAAGCAGGCCCCAGTAGCAGTTTCCTCATCCTATCTCTGACCTCCTTGCCACACGAGATGACTGTCTTACTGTATTAGGTCAATTTGAGTAAGAGTTTTTGTTACTTACTACTGGAGACATTCCAGCTGCTACCTACCTCTTCCATGTATTTGCTTTCATTCATGATTGGCAAGTTTGACTGGCTATAGAATTTGAGATTCAAATCATTTTTGTTCAGAACTTGGAAAGAATTGCTCAATACTGTTGCAGCATCCATTATTGCTCAGAATTTATCATCAGTGTGATTTCCAGTCTTTATGGATGAACTGGAATCTAATGATTCATTCTCTCTGAGACCTAATGATTTTTTCTTTATCCTTAGGGTATTAAAACTATATGAAGTTTGATTAGGTGTACATCTTTTCTTTCCTCTCATTTATTCTGCTTGGTAATTTCAAAAGAGAAGACATGTATTTTTCCAGGCTTGGAAAACAACTGTTACTCATCTTTAATACAGTCCTTCTTTTTTCTTTTTAAGGAAATCCTCATTAGTCAGATGTCACCAGTTGAGGACTCAATATCCTTCCTCATGTCCCATATGTTCAATCTTCTTTACAATCTACCAGATTGACAATCTTCTAGCCCTTTCATTTAAAAATTTGGTTTAGCAATCATATTTTCTAATTTTCTAGACAACTATTTTCCAATTGTTTTCTTTTCCAAATACATTTAGTATTGTTTTATGGCTATAATAGTTTTGCTTACATCTACATTTGCTGAAATCTGTTGATGAATGCTCTCCTAGTTTTCTACACCGTTTATTGTTGTAATTTAATACAATCTAAGGAAAAATATGAAAATGTGTGATGTGGCTGCCATTACGAATTGTCCAACTCTGACTGCTGTACCTACTTTATTAAAAAAAACCTCCAAGGGCCGGCCTGTGGCTCACTCGGGAGAGTGCGGTGCTGATAACACCAAGGCCCCGGGTTCGGATCCCATATAGGGATGGCCAGTTCGCTCACTGGCTGAGCGTGGTGCTGACAACACCAAGTCAAGGGTTAAGATCCCCTTACCGGTCATCTTTAAAAAAAAAAAAAAAAACCTCCAAAACTGCTACTACACTTTTAAAGTCAACACTGAGGAATTTACAGCATTTTGCTTAGGTTTTTTTTTTTTTTTTTCGTGACCGGCAACGGATCGCAACCCTCGGTGTTGCTCCCGCACCTCGCTCAGCCAGTGAGCGGCCGGTCTGTATGTGGGATCCAAACCCTTGGCGGGAGCGCCACCACACTTCCCAAGCTGCGCACTGTAGCAGTGCGCCACTGGGCCGGCCCATAGTTTTTCTTTCCATTCTTACTTCCACTGATTTACTTTAAATTTTAAACCATATATTCCCATATGTGCTGTAAAAACTTCAGACTTAAAATCCTGATACTGTACTACTTTCTTTAACAAACTCAGCAGGAAATTATGTGAGAAAATGACAGTTGTATGCCAATCAAGTATGGGCAGATATTCATACTCCAAAAGCCAACTCTAGCACAAATGACACAATCTTGTACACAAAGAAAAAAACAAAAAAAACCCCATGCATATCATAACTCAAACTTAATTTAAATATAGCCCTAGTGGTTAAGGAATATTTGTCAACAATAAAAAAGATCCAGTAATTAGACTAAAGAGTCCAAGGGTCTTACTTCTTAATCACAAAACGAATCCTTTCCTTGGCAAGTAATATCCTCTCAAGGCGAGGAATTCCATAAGTAGATGGTCTTCTAAAAGGAATTCCTTCAGGAAGTCCTTCTACATAAAGGTCTTCAACATGAGACTGGAAAAGTGGGTATGGGATCGTCACCGGGCCTTTGGCTTTTATAGCTTGAGCTATAAAAAGAGAAAAATAAAGATAAAAAGAGAAAGGGATCATCATTTAGGCACAGTTTTAGAAAAGTGCAGTAATTAAATATGTAATGCTCTCTAACTTTCATAATTTCATCTTTACTTCTGTTACTGCAACTGAATGAAAAGAAAAATAATAAAAAAAGAACTTTTTAAAAAGAATGCCAAAGATGGCAGTATCCTGTTTACTTAAGTCTGCAGTGAAATAATCCATTAATTTAAGGCAATTAGATATAAGCCAGACTCTCCACTGAAATCTGAACCACATTATGAAGCCAGAAAAACATTCTAGTTAATATCAGCTAATATATACAGTATAAAATGGAAGAGGAACAGTATTTTTAAAGTATAAACATTCGTATAACCATTATCGGACCAATAAAGCATTGATATTTATAAAACTGATATAACAGTAAATTCTTTTTAGTCAAAATAGTACTACATTAAGAGTATAATAAAAATAGGGCCGGCCCATGGCTCACTCGGGAGAGTGTGGTGCTGATAACACCAAGGCCACGGGTTCGGATCCATATAGGGATGGCTGGTTAGCTCACTCGGGAGAGTTTGGTGCTGACAACACCAAGTCAAGGGTTAAGATCCCCTTACTGGTCATCTTTAAAAAAAAAAAGAATATAATAAAAATATAAACAGCAAATATTTATTATGTATTAATGTGCCAGGCATTATGAGAAGCACTTTCCTATCTCATCACATCTTCAGGATAGAACTTTAGTAATCACGACCACAAAAGAGGATAGCAAGGCTGAGAAGGAAAGAGACACTGCCAGGCATTCTGTCCACAGAGCCTGTGATGTTATCACTATGTTACAGAGCTTCCATGTAGAGTGGTGGTCTTCTTTCCCCACCCCCTTTTTTTTTGCCTGCTGGCCGGTGCTGGGATCTGGCACCATGCCCTCACCAAGTGAGCTAACTGGCCTGTCCTAAAATGTGTTTTTTTGCTTTGAAATGAACCAATAAAAAACACAGGCCAAAAAGAACGAAACTATTTACATGTTAGAGAAACACTAAGAGACTCTTAAGGAAATAACTAAAAAATATGGAAATGTTATCAAATTCATTATTAAATTTACTCTAAATCTAGATTTTCCATTGAGGGGTAGGTTATTACCCATGAAAAAAACAACAAATGTTCATTTCAAGTTTATGAAAGTAAATAATGCCAAAATGGCTTATCATGTTAAAAACTTCACTGGAAAAATTCAGTTAAAATTCTGTGTATTATACAATTTTATAGCTTGCCAGTTGACTGCAAAGTAGTCATCCAAATAAACAACAGTAAAACAGATGATGTTTTTCAATGACTGTTGCTATTTTAGGTGAGCATCTGAAATATATGTACCATAAGTTGACAATAACAAATTGCTTATTTTATCTCTATATAAAGGTAGCTAGACAACAGAATAGGAAAATAAAAAGGCAAAGAAGAATCTGACATCTAACAAACTCAGTTATGCATTAAGACAAGAGCAGAGACAAAAAGGGCATCTTGACGAACAGTGGATTTAATATAGCAGATTAAGAGAAACTATTACCTAAGAAAATAATTTTTGATTAAATTTCCAAGATCCAAGACTACAATAAATACGTAAATAAACCCCCAAATATGCATGCTAAAAGTCTTTAAAAAATGCTAATTGATAATTAAAGAAATAAAACTTTTCCTTAGCTTTATAGTAATCTAGAAACAAATATTTCAAAGGACACCATAAACGACCTTATAAGGGAAAGATGTATAAGTCAGACACAAGTCAGTGGCAAAACCACATCGGTTCATGCAACTCTCCAATGATGAACAATAATTCACTGTTTAAACGGTTATGAAAAGAATCTTTCAGTTTAGACATACCATATTTTCTTTCAAACAACTCTTCCACTTGTTTACGTAGATCAGTAATTCGAGCATTCCATTTCTCTAAAAATTGAGAGAAAATTAATTATCAATAATAAATTGCCATTTGGGGGCACGGGTGTGTTCTTAAGATGATCTAATGATTCATTTTCTATCTAACACACCCTAACAGTCTATCTCAGTCTACAGAACTTTACTGCTTTCCTAAGAACCTTTCCTCCTTTTTTTGTGGTTCTTAGAATTAGTTCAATGGGAGAATACAAGATTAAAAGTTTAGTACTTCTTTTTAGCGTTTTAATTTCTAAATAGGAGAAGGGCATTCAAATTAAACACTACAAAATGGAGGCAAGAAAGTGGGAGGACTCCAGGGGTCATGACAAAAACTGCCTAAAACATATCTTAGCTGTGTAGAAATAAGACTTGATGGAAACACCGTTGCAACCAAAAACAGAATGCTCAAGAATATAAGCATATATAAGCTTACTGTATGTATAAATTCAATTTATATCCAGTAATTATAACTTTGACAAGGTAAAATATTAAAATATTATTTTCAAAATGTATACAAGCTGAATATTCTATTTAATCAAAATATAAATCACAAACATATTTTGCCACTAATATTTTATTTAGTCCCTTTGATAGGATACATCATCCCCTGGGAGTTAGATTAGCAGCTGGCAGTCACAGAGAGAAAATCAAGGTGTAAAGTATTTCTTTTTTTTTTTTTTTGTCTTTTGTCTTTTTCCGTGTCCAGCAACGGAACGCAACCCTCAGTGTTGCCCCCGTACCGGACCGGGGACCGGCTACGGGAACGCAACCCTCGGTGTTGCTCCCGCGCCTCGCTCAGCCAGTGAGCGGGAACCGGTCTGTATGTGGGATCCGAACCCTCGGGCGGGAGCGCCGCCGCGCTTCTCAAGCGGCGCACTATCCAGTGCGCCACCGGGCCGGCCCCGTAAAGTATTTCTTAAATAAAAAAGGTTTTAAAGCTAAGACAAATACTTGAATACTAAGTTAATTAACACTATTAACTCATCAACAATAACTGCAATAAACATCAGAAGATACACTGTCTTATGCTTGGTAAGCCCAAACTATGTTTAAACAATGTCTGTAACATTACTTCAAAAAGCACTTGGCTTTCCACAGATTAGATTATACTGCAGTAATAAATTTTAAGGCATTTCCCCCTGTAAGGAATGTTATAATTTTTATCAGCAAGAGTTTAGAAGAAAATAAAGGAAAAGTCCACGTACTTAATTGAGAACTTACCAAAGTTGAACTCCCTCACTTTTCGTTTTCCAGCATTGGCAGGTTCCGTAACTGGTGGCTGCGGTGGCTCACTGCTCTTTGGTCTCTTGGTAGGTGGAGAATAATCATCATCTTAAAAAAAACAAACAAACTGTCATTACTGGAGGAACTGTCCTAATGAGTTACCACTACCACCCGTTAAATTCTCAAAACCCAAAAGGCGTGCAGGACTTTAAAGTTGTTTTGAATATCAAAAATTCCGTATTGTCATCTTCGGCATATTTTTTTCAAGTTAACATATGCAATTTTCCTACTCTTTTGGGATGTGCTCAAGTAAATATTGCTTGTTTTCCTTTGTCTTGATTCATTTTCTTTGTAGTTTGCTTCATTTAAATTGTTATTATAGGGCTGGATGGTTAGCTCAGTTGGTTAGTGCATGATGTTGTAACAGCAAGGTCAAGGGTTTGGATCCCCATGCTGGCCAGCCGCCAAAAAAAAAAATTATTATAAATTTCCCCTTCTCCTCAAATAACTTTCAAATAGAAAGTCTGCAGCCTAGAATTATGTTCTGTTTTAAGTCATTCAAGAAAAGGTTTTAATGGAGACAGCCACCTGAAATTATACAAATACATAAGGGGGATAAAATAAAGCTTAGATGGAAAAATATTTAAGCTTATACAAAATTCAAGCATACATAAACAAGGGAGGTTGGATAACTGTATGTCACATACTTTTAACAAACTCAGAGTTTGTAGGATTAAAGAAATAGGGCTATACTGTTTATGAAACAGATAATGTTGATTCAGTCAATAGAGAACCTATGTGTAAATGAGCAATCAGATAATCAAGCACATGATATAGACTACTCAAGACATGTGTAGTAAGAGTTCCATGCTCATTTCTTTATGGATATATCTGCAACTCAACTCTGCTACAATCCTTCAATATATCTAATGCTAGAATTAAGGACATTTATTTTTATTTTTTTAATTTTTTTTTTTTTGTCCTTTTTGAGACCTGTCGCACGACGCTCAGCCAGTGAGCACACTGGTCATCCCTATATAGGATCCGAACCCGCAGCGGGAGCGCTGCTGCACTCCCAGCGCCGCACTCTCCTGAGTGCGCCACAGGCTCGGCCCAGAATTAAGGACATTTAGATCAAATAAGAAAAGTTACCACTGTCAACTTCTTCTAGTCCCTAAAAACATGTCAGGCAACACACTACTAAGATCTCTGTTTAAACATCATCTGTAAATAATTGAAATACCATTTTAAGAATTGTTTTAAAAGATATGGTATAAAGAAGAAAATAATTACTGTGTTAAAGACAGTAGCAATGATAAAAAGATCACTCAAATACAGTTAAGACATTCTTTTAGATCGGTGTAATTGTTACTCTCATTTTATAGCTAACAAAAACCGTACAGCTGAGATTAAGAGTTGGGGTATAACTCTTCCAGTAATCTACCAGGTTGCCTCCCAAAAGATAAGAAAGGCAAATTTGGCTGAATAGACGATGTGTTGCCTGGGGCAGCGCTGGGTAAATTTTATGTACTTTTCTCTTATTGAAGGGAAACCTTAAGTGAAGCTGGAAATACTGATGATTCACTCCCATCACGCTCTGTCAGAGAACACCATCAGATACTACCGCCCTGGCTTGCTGCCTTGGGGTTCTTCCTGTAATACTAACAGCAACCTGAAATTATTTGCTGTTATAATCAACTGAAGAAAATGGTACTAAGGTCACCAATATCAGATAAATTCACATTAGGACCTATTTATGTGCTTGGAAAGACAAAACTGTTTTCTGGGTGGTACTATTTCAGGAAAAAATCATCGTATTAACGACTAATGGCAGTATTAAAAATTTTGACGTAGGGCCGGCCTGGTGGCGCACTGGATAGTGCGCCACTTGGGAGCGCAGAGGCTCCCACCGAGGGTTCGGATCCCATGTGGAGACCAGTTCCCGCTCACTGGTTGAGCGCGGTGTGGGCGCAGCACCGAGGGTTGCGATCCCATTGCCGGTCCCGGTAGGGTCGCGACACCGAGGGTTGCGATCCCGTTACCGGTCAGTAAAAAAGACAAAAAAGGAAAAAAAAAATTTTTTTTGATGTATTGAATGCCACTGGACAAATTCATGTTCAAATTCAGAAAGAAATATCTGATAGAAAATTTAAAAATGGCAAATCTCTCAGTAAAATAAAACTTGAAAATTTCATCTGGGTTTATAATTACTCAATTACTATAAGAATTAAAAATGATCGGGCCGACCCGGTGGCGCACTGCTACAGTGCGCCGCTTGGGAGCGCGGCGGCGCTCCCGCCGAGGGTTTGGATCCCACATACAGACCGGCCGCTCACTGGCTGAGCGAGGTGCGGGAGCAACACCGAGGGTTGCGATCCGTTGCCGGTCACGAAAAAAAGACAAAAAGGAAAAAAAAAAAGAATTAAAAATGATCAAAAGACCCTATTAATAGATTAAGGTTCCAACCTAAGAAGAAACATTCTGGAAAACACATGAGGTATCATTTCTAAATTTGGCTTTCAATTATGAAAACATACATTAAAAAAACCCTATTTTTCAACTTCCACACAGCTTTTAGGAATCCTAGAAGTATTTCAATGCTGTTTTCCAAAGGGTAACACAAATATAATAATTTCATCTATAAATATTGCCACAGCTTTATAAATGGTTAATATTCATATCTCTTTACAAACATTAAGCAACGACTTCTAAAAGTGTTTTCCCTATAGGTTAATGTAGTCTAAATATACCTACAGATCATCATTTAAACTGATGATTACATAAAATGAAAAAAAAAAAAATACAAGTATAGCTGTAGAGTGTAATGAAAAACAGACAAAGGTCCACTGTATTAACCCAATTTTAATCTAAAGTCTTTGAAATTGAGGCCAAGGGGGAGAGGCAAAACAGTTTTCTGTAGTGTCAAGATCTCACTTCTTCAGTCAAACTAATATTAGAACACAAAGGAATTACCAGATATAATCTGACAAAAAACCAAAAAAAAAAAAAAAAAAAAAGAAAAGAAAGAAAGGGTCAAACCTGGGGAAGTGTTTTTTAATACAACAATTTAACAAAGATAGTAAAATATTAAAAATACAGGTGATATCACATTTTCTATCCAGATAAAGAAATTCAATCTATTGAATATGAACATATACAGAGATGAATTTAATTATTTGTAATAAAATACCACACCACATATTCTATTTTTAAAATAAATCATTTAGTAAATTTGTTTATTAACTAATCTTTGAGTATTTTAAGTCACATGGAACATGGAATTAAATTATCAAAACAGCTATGAACTTAATCACACCCTCAAATTTTTCTCCAATAACTCTATGCTGCAAAAACCTGTCACTGGTTTTGAGAAAGTAAGGAAAAATGTCTTGACCTAGAATCTTTTCCATGAAGGAACAAAATTACTTATTTTTCTGAATAGCATAAAACATCAAATAAAGCTCCAGAGATTACCCTAACAATTCAGCCCAGCATCGAGCATTGCTTCAATTATCATGGTGCTTCAACATTATAAACAACCATTTTTGTGTAACAAGACATACAATTCAGCACTCTTCCTATTCAAGCCCAAACTCACAATGTTTACATAATCAAAATCTTTTAAAATAAAATTTAAAATATTTTAATGCAAAAACTGATATTCAGGAATTTGCAATAGTTATGGTACCAGTACTAAAAAAAGCACCTCCCTCCTTTGAAAAAACTCAGCAACACTGTCCCTAACTCAAAATTTGTATTTAGAGAAAACCCTGTTTTCCTTTCTGTAACATAATTACAAGTATTTATATGTAAATATATACATTATATACCTATAGATAATACAGACTCCAAAGCTAAAATGGTTAATTATTGCATTCTTCCCAGTGAATGCATTAATAGAATATGTAACAATATTTTCTGGTACTCTTAGTTTCAACATAATCAAATTGGTAATGTTTTATCATACAATCGGACACCTATTCAAAGTTTAAAAAAAAAAATCACAATCAGGTACTGTATCTATTTTGAAATCAGAGCCATTAGTCACCCTACACATTTTAAATAGATAGATCTTTTTTTTTTAACCCATGGACCCAACTCAACTCCTCTGAAACTCTTACTTTTACATAAACAATTGGGTATTCACTAAGTAACAGCTTAGCAGCTAGAAAATTAAAAACACAAAGTTTTCAAATTACATAGATTCTACAAACTCTACAGTAACAACTGAAGTTTATCTGCCATGTTTGGTAATGTGAACCAATTTTATGTGGAAATAGTTTATGTATACCTTTCAAAATATATGAGAAAGAAATAAAAAATTTCAAAGACAGCTGACTTACGAAGACACAAAATTAATCAGAAAATGAATTTACTTAAAATCAATTTAATGAAAAAATTAGGTTAAGTGATGAACAGAGGGTTAGGTCACAGCAGAATGAACATATATGAAAAGACTCAGGTTTAGGAAACATGCCCTAAAAGAAAACTGCACAATAAAAAAATCTCTTTTAAGCCAAAAAATTTCCCTTTATTAGTATTCCCATACTAGCTAGATCTCTAACAATTCTGAGATAAGATTTTCTCTGCACATATCAATGATAACATACCTGACCAGCAGTCCGATTTAACCCAAAAACGTAGTCATGATGTTTGTGAAACCGAGGCACGCACAGTCATATTATTCCAAAGCATGTTTCCCACACCTGAATCACATAAATTTTAAATGTGTGCCACTGACTACATACAAATGGATCAATACAAAGGGAAGAACACACCTCAGAGCACACCACCAGCAATGGGTAAGTAACATTATCTCGTACAGATTAACACATCTGCATCAATGCCAAATTAGCCTCTTCAAAGCTCCACATAATTTCAAATGAAGATATCAAGATTAAACTAAAACACTGTGGAAAATCTGACAGACTTACTTGCTGACAAAGTTCTTTTTTTTTTTTTCTATAAAGCATTTGGAAAATGTAGAAAGATATAACAGGAGAAAATAATGTCATCCCCAAGCAAGCAGGAACATCTTGATTTATTTTTGTCCACCTTTCTTCCAAGCAGAAGTATTTTCCTGAACAAAACTAAGACCATTCTCTAGAAAACACTTTTAATTCTAAACTTGTCTTGTTCATAATAGGCAGGGATTTTTCCCCCCCCACTAGACATATTACATTAGGGATCTTTTTCTTTGTATCATTTAAGTATTTCAATGCCTGTATATTTTTCTATTATGAAGATACACCCATATTTAATTTTTTAACTATGAATATTTAAATGGCTTCTACCATTCTGCAGTGATCTATTCAGAAAGAATACACAATATACATAGCAAGCAGATGTGTAAATTAAGTCCTGATTTGACCTTCCTTATTAATAACAAGACAATTTTTACCTTTCCTAATGTATGGCTAAATATGGTTTGTATAAGAAATATATATCTCTATATATACATGTGCCATGGAAAATGGCCTTTAAAGTCGTTCTGTATAGGCCGGCCCGTGGCTCACTCGGTAGAGTGCGGTGCTGATAACACCAAGGCCACGGGTTCGGATCCTATATAGGGATGGCCGGTTTGCTCACTGGCTGAGCATGGTGCTGACAACACCAAGCCAAGGGCTGAGATCCCCTTACCGGTCATCTTCAAAAAAAAAAAAAAGTCCTTCTGTATATGTGGAGGATTGGTTCCAGGACCTCCCGTGGACACCAAAATCCATGGTTGCTCAAGTCCCTCATATAAAAAGGCATGGTACTCCAAATTATCTCTAGCGTACTTATAATACCTAATATAACATAGATGCTATGAAAATAGCTGTTATAGCATATTGTTTAAGGAATAATGACGAGAAAATTACAAGTCTGCACATGTTCAGAAAAGATGCAATTCCACTCCCTCCCCCATATTTTAGATCCATGGTGGGTGAACCCATGAATGGGCAGCCCTCAGTGGCAGAGGCCACTGAGATTACTTTACTCAGACCTGGCACTCACGGTTCTTCTGAAGCAGCCTATACAGCAAAACTCTACTATTTGATAACAACTTTGGATGTTAAATGAGGCTTTATGTCTTAGTTTAAAAAAAATGAGATTTACCACTCCCTCTAAAAAAGAGTTAAAGTTGAAAAAACTGACAGATGTTTCAGGTTTATGAGCCTGACATTTCCTTAAAGATCTAAACCCAAGTATTTATTTTCTAAACAATTTTAATACAGCCTCTATCTGCTTTAAGATGTGATAAACCAACTTGGTTATTAGCCCTATCTAAAAGCTTTATTTTTATAATTTTAATAATCACCGTTTTTCTTTTCTCCACAGAAAGGACAAAATTACGAGTGTTTATAATATTAATATGCTCTTAAATTTTTCTCATCTGATAGTTAATGAGGTATCTAAAAAGCAATTAAATTTCAATTACTTAATGCTAGACTTACAATTCAAAATTGTTTTTAGGTTAGTATAATTCTACTAGTTATAATTATACTAAGTTACACTTTTATTAATAAGAAAAACCTGTACATTAGGTTAATTGAGATTTCTTATATTAGGTGAAGGCTACCAATCAACTTACATTTTAGAAGCAATGAAGACAAACATGTTGAGTAGTCTGAAGTAGCCAAACACCATAAATAACCAAGTGACACCAGTAGGGAATAGGTTATTAAACATGAGAGAGAATGAGAGAGAGAGACCAAAACGAAGGTTATGCAGCAGTTAGAAAAAAATTAATGAAGAACACCAAGATGTGTGGTTATGGGGAGAAAAAAATCTATTGGACATGATGTTTTTAAAAAAATTTGCATTATAATACATGCTGAAAGCATCTGTGTATTTTTGCAAAAATAGATATATACACGTGTGTATATATACACAAAATTATTTCTAGAAGTATACACAATAAGCTGACATCTACCCCTGAGTACAGGGACTTGGGAGCAGAGCAAGGGTGAGGATAACTTCACACAGTGCGGCTGGCCCCGTGGCGCACTGCTACAGTGCGCCGCTTGGGAGTGCAGCGGTGCTCCCGCCGAGGGTTCGGATCCCACATACAGACCGGCCGCTCACTGGCTGAGCGAGGTATCGGTGCAACACCGAGGGTTGCGATCCCGTTGCCGGTCCCGGTCCGGTACGGGCGCGACACTGAGGGTTGCGATCCATTGCCAGTCACAAAAAAAGACAAAAAGGAAAAAAAAAAAAAACTTCACACAGTGCAATCTACTGTATTGTTTCAATATTTACCATAGGAAACTCTTACTTTGAGGGGGAAAAACTTACAGAGTGTTGTGAGACATTAATTTAAAAGGAAAAAGCCCAATAAACATTTAATAATTATGAAATATGAAAAGTGACAATAATTTTATTAGATCAACTTTCAAATAATCAGGAACAAACTGGCTCATCTATGTTCACGCTTATCTTTGAAGAAAAACCTAGGTTTGAAGCAACTTTAGCTAGAGAGATTATTTCGGAATATATTTGTAGCTATTGCTTCAAAACAGTTTTTAAAAACAAATTACACGTTAGACTCTAAGTAGTGTTTTAAGGGGGGTAACTTGCTTTAAAACTTGTTTACGGGCCGAGCCCGTGGCGCACTCGGGAGAGTGCGGCTCTGGGAGTGCAGCAGCGCTCCCGCCGTGGGTTCGGATCCTATATAGGGATGACCGGTGCACTCACAGCGCTCACTGGCTGAGCGCGGTGCGGCTGGTCTCAAAAAAAGGACAAAAAACAAAACAATACAAAAAAACTTGTTTACTAAACTATGAACATGTTCTCCTCCACTTAATGAGAAATCAAGCGTTCCAGCTCCTTAAGTCTCTTCTATCACAACCAATAGGTTAAAGAGAATCTGATTTTATGTGTATCAAGTCTGGTCATAATTTTCTTTTTTTCTTTTCAATTCCCACTGATAGGAAGCTTAGCTTGGTCCACCTGTGGGTCAATGCTAATTTTCACAGCTTAATTTTCTTGTCTCAAACTCCCAAAGCACTAGGGTGCACTGCTGGGAAGTGGGCTGCTTTGGTCACACAAACACATATATATTTCAATTCTTTTCACAAGTTTCCTTTAAAAATGAATGAAATGCATACTTAGCAATGTGAATGTGACAATACTTTTATGACCAGAAGTAAACTTTTGGAATCAAGGCTTTTAGATAACTAACCTTCAATAGTCACCTCAACTTCAGGGTCCTCACTTGTTTCTGAAGGGACATGTTGAGTAGAATCTTGAAAAAAATAAAATTCTAAAATGACATTCATCATTAAGCATTTTCCATATGTTCCAACATTATACTGATGATACTCCAAAAGCAGCCTAATATAAAATGTGACTGGCATTTTAATTCATTTAATATTTAATAAATTAAAATATCTGACCCTTTAAACTATAAATAGGGATAAAAGAAAACAAGTAGAAAAACTCTGGAAAAGTATCAGATAGTTACCTGCATTAATGGACCATATTCTTGGAGGAATGAGATAAAGTCATAATTATTTTCCTACTGTAACTAGAAAATGCTAGGATAAAAACAAACGCTTTCTTCTTTGGTTAATTTTTCTCCTCTCCTTTCACAAAAAAACACATCAATTTTTGGCAATGGAAACCTTCATTGCAAGAGAATGACTATAACAAATGCATACAGGACTATATCCTGTAACTTTGCATGCAACATATTTTTAAAAATTAAGTATTTCGTTAATATTTTTGTTACCACAAAAAGCAAATGTACACCAGAATGTTAGTGCTAGAAGCTTAGCTAGAGAGTATTTTCATTAGCTCTCTTTCATTTTGCAAAGGTTGAGAGATTAACTGATTTGCCAAAGATTATGTTCACTTGTTAGTAAAGGAATAAAGACCAAAACCCAGGTTCAATTCAAATCTGTTAACACTGCAATACGACAATAAAAATTTCCTTAGAAACAGTCTATTGAAGCCTAATATCTAATGACAGAATCGTAAACTATGAAGTAATCTGTATTATCTGATGAACATTTGTACCATACGTGTCTTGTACATAGGTCTTCTGTTGTTACGCATACCACCTATTCCAAATGAAGATTTTTGTCACAGAGGAAATACTTAATTACTTACACATGCTAAAACATAAAAAATTCACCCACACAATCTTCTATAAAAAGATCTGACAAAAAAATGAGCATATCAGTATTTCTGAGAGAAATGTATTCCTACTATAAAACCCTACTTCTATAACTGAATTTGGAAACAACAGCCTACATTCCAGGGACATTAAGATCTCCCTTCACTCAGAAAAGGTAAAAGATCAAATTAATAATTTTTGAAATAAAATAGAAAAAGCAAATACAAGGAATATAAACAGCTACAGAATAGACTCCCTTTTTATTCTAGAAAAATAAGGCACAATATGACTGGTTTATAAGAGAAATAATTATTGTAAAACAAGATTCAGTTACCTCACTAGTCATTTTCTTTGGGAAAAATCTACAAAAATTCTTGTGGAATTATTTAAACAACTCAGAAGTAAGGAAGCCATCCTGAATGATTAACAGTTCTTAACTCAAGATTCTAATAACTAAAAAGAGCTGTACCACAGTTAAATATTCAATCCTAAAATCAAAGTCGTATATGTCAGTTATGAAATCAAACTGACAAAGTAGTTCACAGGGTAGCTGTGGGTATAAATCTCTCCTCTATAAATTTTATCTAGAATATATTACCCTACTAAGAGATTGTGAGCATTAAACCATATGTTTAAAAGTGAACTATGAATGTAGTAATAATTGTAATTCTAAAATACTAAAGCTATTCTTCCTAAAAATATTTTTAATATGACACTAGAAAACCAGAAACACACACGCAGTATTTTCACATGATGAAGAGATTTACTTACCCCTTAGTTCTCACCCCCACATGCTTTATTAACCAGCACAGTAAGAAGCATATTACATCTTAGAACTTTAAAAAAAAAAACCTGTTGGTAGTCAGGCATACCAAAACCATCATATTTTTTATTTCCATATGAGGCGTTTTAAGGATGATATAATCTATACAACAGAACAAACATAAAACAAGTACAGTAAAATAGAAAACCCCTATTTTTCCTAACCTTCTGCTGGTACTTCCATTTCTGTTCCTTCATTGCCCTCTGAAGAATGATGGCTTCCTAGAAAAAAAAGAAACAACATAAAATAGACCAATAAAAGCTTATGTTGAAAGAAGAAACAAACTAGATAACAATGCACACAATTTAAGACATAATAAAAACACGAAATGATTCTTTAACTCTGTAGTAATTAACTCAGACAATGTTTTCTAATTCAGTAAAATATACTAACACTTCTATTTGGAAGCTAAAATAAGTATTTAAAAATACACATATACAGAGTAAACCTAACTAGGTTTGGGGAGTTAATATTAGTTACTGTAACTACATAATATAATTACTGATGGATGTTGGAATCTGAGAAAGAACAATTATCTTTCGAAGTACCATGCTCATCTGCCAATGACTCACTTACAAATAAGCAAATCACAGTAAATTTTTGCTTTGCTAATAGACTTAAGTGTAGATAAACAAGTACAGGGTTTGCTGTGGAATTTTCCTACTTTCCATTTTCACTATAGTGGATTGCTACAGATACTCAATCCCCATAATTTAATCAAAGTTGTACTTAAAGGAAACTCAGAAGTTAAAATTTAAGATACTACCTTTAGTCTCAAAAGCATTTTAATTCTGGTAATATAATCTGCCTGCTTCTAAAAACTGGAACATAAAGCAACGCATCAGGTTAGGCAGTCACAAGGTAAACAGGCTCATTCTACTAGAGTAGAAGTTTTATTCACAAACAGGAAAGAAATAACCTAAGACATCAGAGAGCCACTTAGATGAAATGCCCAAGCTGCTTCCACATACGCATCCTCTGTCTTAAACACCTGCGCCACTAATATGGAAAAGGGTGGAAAACACTGCCTCTGAGAATGAACAAAAACACATTACCTATCATATCAGTAAGAATAACTCACTTAGGGCAGGTGAAGAGATTCTAATCTATTTTGACACATCTATTAACTAAACTCAACTCAGAAGCTGTACTAAAGGTAAGATATGTTATAAATATGAACATTTTATTTTGATTTTTAAAGAGTATTAATTACAGTCTCAAAAACTGTCACTGAACTAAAAGTGCCATACTAACGTCAAATATCTTTGGTTTTCAATGTCTAGCTTTATCATGCCATAATTATCTTGGAATTCTCTTCTATTTACATTGTATTGTGAAAACTCACCTGAACTTAAAACTTTAGGTAAATCTATAAATCTATACCTGTGAATCATTCTTTAATTAACTTTCTAAATATGCTTTCTCAATACACACTCCTTCCCTTTCTATTTTTAACCTCAACATTTGAATTTATGAGCATTAAGTTCTTCAACTGTAAAATCAAAGAAAACAGAAATGTGAGGTCAAAGGAATGAGAGATAATGGAAAAAAGGCCAGTAGTTAAAAAGGAAAGGTTGGCTAAAGAATAAGAATAGTAAGGTGATTGTTCATGTAAACAATGAGTCTACGTGTCCTTTTTATTCCTTTAAAATCTGAAACAATTACATTTATATTATAAAGTAATGCTAAAGAAAATAAATCTTATCCACTCAAAGCCAGAACAGATAGAAGTAAAAGCCATAACTAATAGCCTATGACCATCAAATTTGGGAACAATATACAAAAATTCCAAAAATGGTAATCAACTGATAAACTTAGGGATTTACAAGTGATACATCACAATCCTTCTAAAAACTAAGTATCAACATGACCTTATCATTATTTACATTGCTAACTATTTAATAATAACCTTACTTCTGACTATTCTGATATAAGGTATAAATGTGTACTTTACCTTAAATATGAAAGTGTGTCATGTACCCATTTCGAGATTCATTACTAGATTCACAAAAGGGAAAATTGGTTTTGAAAAATTGTTGCTTGTGACGTTCATTTATGTTAAAAAAATAAAAAGGCCAATACATTTCTTTTTCCTTTTCCATTTAGAAAAGTAATAATATAGTAATAAATATTAAAACACAGTCTGTCCAATGTAAAGAAATATTAAATATGAACAGTTGTGGGAAAATGGAAGTGAAAAGGTTATACCTTGCAAAGACTTCGAAAGGGGGAGCTTTTCATCAACATCATCAGTTTCAGAAGGGCCTGCTTTGGAATACAAAGATAATACTTCAAAAGTAATCCCCAAAACATATTTTGGGTCACTGAAGTGAACAAATTTGGATGAGATACATGACATAAAAGCCTTTTTAGAAATTAAAAAAAAAGGCAAAGTGAAGAAAAAGTGACTGACAAAATGAATGGTGTCGATTTATGGTCTTGGTGAACGGGAAAAGAATACTCAGGTAAATTCACATATAAACAGTCAAAAAAAATTTTGAAAATGACTAGACATATGGATCGAATGGGAATGATGGTTTTTTAAAACAGTAAAATGTTCATAACACTAAACTGTAACTTTTACTTCATAACAATTATAAATGCAGGTTTATCTTACAGGTATATTTGTTTCTTCCTTGACAAATATTTGCCTAATCTTTCATCATACTGAAGAAAAATGCAGAACCAAATTGCTACACCTATCTGTGAATCTCTAAAAATGATCTAAACTATCAATAAGCTTGAATTGCCAGTGAAATAGAAACATGACAAACTAACAGGTTTTAATTCAGATTCCCCCTTTCTTGCAGAACCGTAAGTACTTTTAATACATTAACAAGGTTCTTTCCCATGATTAACATAAAAAGTACACTGGGTTGATTAAATCTTCCCAAAGCGCTATAGACATTTTGATAACATATTTACATGTACCGTCAAGCATTTTAATGATTTAAGTAATAAAATTAAAATGGAAAACAAAACACTGGGTTTTCAATGGTCACTTGTTAACATAAAACATGTTCTTGCACTAATATGGAACACAAACCAGTTTACTATCTGTCTCTGAATATGACTTGGAAAATATCCTAAGGTGTTTGAAAGGCTTACCCTTATAGCACAAGAAATTTCGCAAAGATGTGCCTAGCTACACATTACAAGCACAGGACGCATCATAGAAAACAACTGTATTAAAAATATAAAAATTGCTTGTATCTGGAATCTCAACTACCAGCAAAACTAATAGAGAATCCTGAATGCAAATGCCAGATCCACTGCTTCCTATTCATGTAACCCGGGGTAAAATACACAGAATTCTTGTCAAGGGAGACTTGCTATCCACAGATTTTAAAAATAAAACACTAGCTAAGGCTAGTAATTGACTTCTAAGTAATGCTTCAGCTACTTTTCACAAGTTTAGCCATGTGACATTCTCAATATTTTTAATAAGGTCCTCCTTCAATCAACTATGAGCACATTTCTTAGGATTCCTATTGTAAAGGTTTTCTATTTTATTCATTTTTTTTTAAAGATGACTGGTAATGGGATCTTAACCCTTGACTTGCTGTTGTCAGCACCACGCACACCCAGTGAGCTAACCGGCCATCCCTATATGGGATCCAAACCCTTGGCCTTGGTGTTATCAGCACCACACTCTCCCGAGTGAGCCACAGGCAGGCCCAAAGGTTTTCTATTTTAAATAACCTTTTAATTACTGATTTCTAATTACATTAATTACACTATGGTCAGGGAAGTTATTAAGGCTACCTGTGAACAAGTGTATAGTCAATCTTTGTAAATGATTCAAGCTTTGTAAATAAACATTTGCTGGATACAGAGTTCCCTATATACAGCTTACATTTCCTAGCTATAGCTTAAATTGATCTAAAGATTCAGCACGACACCCATCAAAATCCCCACAGGCTTTTTGGAACAAAACAAGCTGATATTTAAAAATTTATGAGAGGGCCGGCCCGGTGGCGCACTGCTACAGTGCGCCGCTTGAGAGCGCGGCGGCGCTCCCGCCGAGGGTTCGGATCCCATATACAGACCGGTTCCCGCTCACTGGCTGAGCGAGGTGCGGGCGCAGCACCAAGGTTTGCGATCCCGTTGCCGGTCCCAGTCCGGTACGGGCGCAACACTGAGGGTTGCGATCCGTTGCCAGACACGAAAAAAGACAAAAAGGAAAAAAAAAAAAATTTATGAGAAAAAAGTAAAGGTGCTAGACTAGATAAAATAATTCTGAAAAAGAAGAACAAAGTTGGAGAACACTCATAATCTGATTCCAAGAATTACTATAAACCTACAGTATTCCAAACAGTGTAACACTTGCAAAAGGACAGACATACATATCAGTGAGACAGAATATACACCATAAATTGACAGAGATGCAAAGGTAAAAGAAGAGTCCTTTCAACAAATGGTGCTAGAAAAACTGAACTCAGTATCTTGTGCACTATACAAAAATTAGCTCAAAATTGATCACACACCTAAATGTAAAACTATAAAATTTTTATGAAACACAAAGTCTCTGTGATTTTGAATTAGGCAAACATTTTTCAGATACGACACTTAACACAATCCACAAAAGGGGAAAAAGAATCAATAAATTGGACTTCGTCAAATTAAACTACTTTCAAATCACACCACAAAGGACTTTTATTCAGAATATATAAAGAATTGTCCAAAATCAATTATTATAAGAAAAACATTCACACTGCTAGAATATACCCTTCATCCTGGTCCCAACTTTCTCAACTGCACTTAAGATATTATCATTTCAGGCCACCTTTCCCCTCTACAGACATCTGATTTCCAACTCTTATCTACTCAGGCATCACCTTCAATCACTCTCTCTCCCACTCTGAGAAGAGGGGAAAAAAGCTTCTATAATCATGGCTGATAACAACAGTGAAGCTAATGAAGACAATACCAAAGACAGAGACTTTTTATTTAAATAATTAAACATAATCTATTTTTTAAAAAATATTTTATTAAACAGTATTTACTAACTTTATGCACATATACTAGTAACGTACCAACAACTGCAATAAAGGCTAAATATTTTCTAACATTTTAACTTTTTAATTAAAAATCCTCAGAACTATTTCAACTTTTTGCCATGTAATTCCTAATGTCACAAGCAGTAAACTATTCAAAACTGTCAGAAACTGAAATTCACTATGACATGGTCTAATAGATGTACCCAGATATTCAAATAATTACTAACCAGAATAAAATTGTTCAAAACACTTAAAATGCTCCAGAACTGATAAGGCTTATCTTTTTGAAGAAAATAAAACTGATTAATTAGGCAAATGCGAAATCAAAATGAGAAATCCTAACACACTCACTAAAGTGGCTAAAATTAATAAGACTGACCATATAAGTGCTGACAAGGCTGTGGGGCAACTAGAACTGTTCTACACTGCTGATGGAAACGTAAAATAGTACAAGCACAAGTAAATACCTACCATATCGCCAGCTATTCCATTTCTAGTTACCTACTCAAGAGAAATGAGTGCATACGTCCACACAAAAACTTGTACACAAATGTTCACAGTAGCTTATTTATAGCCCCTAACTAGGAATAACCTAAATGACTGTCACCATACAAATGGATGAACAAACTCTGGTATAGACATACCTCAAACAACACACAACAATAAAATGGAATCAACTACTGATACATGCAACACTATGCATGAATTTCAAAACAATTATATGGAATGGAAGAAACACACTGCTCCCACAGCCCAGAAAAACAGTACATTCTTTATGATTTCATTTATATAAATTTCTAGAAAATGCAAAGTAATCTAAAATGATAAAAACAGATCAGTGCTTGCCTGAGGGCAATGAATTACAAATCACAAAAATTACACAAGGAAACTCTTGGAGATAATGTATATTTCATTACCTTGGTTGCACTGAAGATGGTTCTATAGGTATGTACATGACAAAACTAACCAGATTTTACACTTTAATTGCTTAATGTACTACAAGTATGCACTGATAAAAAAATAAGCTGACTATAAAATATAGAAAACATTCTTCTAAGGTAGAACCCATCAGTGTATAAAAGTACACTGCATTGTGAAATTACAATCTTTAATTCCTTCTTAAGAATCAAGCAAAAAGATAATCGAACAAAATGATAAATAATAGCTTAAATTGGTCACTGTCTTACATTTTATAGCTTTTTAAGATAATGATAATGCTTGGGGAACAGTTATTTCTGTGACACAAATATAGCTATTAAAGTTCAGAAGCCATCTCATGCTTTGCAAATAACAGTAGAAACTGGAATGAATTCTATAAGAACATCAATGGCTGTTTCACATTTTCCCCACAGATTATTTTAGTTTATTTTATTGCCCCACTTTTTAAATACTTCATTCCAGTGATAAATTACAAGTATATATGCCAATCAAGAACTAATCAATAAAACAGTTATTTAAGAAATTCAGGTAAGTGATAAATCATAATTTTAACCACCAATAATTTGGGGAAAGAAAAATTGTATTAAATAGTATTACCTTGAATATTATATTGATAGTAATCAGGATCTTCTGATTCTTCCTTTACTGTCACAGCTGCCATTTCCAGGGAAATGCCTGTAAGAGCAAATTAAATTATATAATTACATGTCAGTGCTTTCGCTTATATTGTGTAGGGAAATCCCCTCTGCCCTCCCAATAATGCAGAGTAATGCATATGTATTTTAAAGACTTCAAAAAGACAAAAGTTTGCTAAGTAGCAGGGGGGCAAAAATCACCTATAACCCCAACCAAACCAAAGTTCTAATCGCTATCAGTATTCTGGGATTATTTGCTAATTTGTTTTCCCTGACAAGTTCTTATCTTTGGAATTGAAGAAAATTAGTCACACTTCATTTTCACTTACTGTTAAAAATACAAACCACTGAAAATCACTTTTTTTCTTTTTTGGGGGGTGGCTGGCCAGTATAGTGATCTGAACCTTTGGCCTTGGTGTTAACAAGGTTTGCTCTAACCAACTAACCAGACAGCCGAAAATTGTTTATAAACATCAATTTTAATGACTCAATACTTCAGAGTAGAGATGGCATAATTTTTTAACCATTTCCATATGAAATATACTACCTTTTTTCTCCTAATTAAGCCCTTTTATGAACAAGGGTGCAAAGCACGCCTTTTTGCATAAAGCTGTGCCCACGATTAGGAAAATTTGAAGTGGACCTTTGTGGCCAGAAACAAGAGAGTGCATATTGTATAGTTCCACGTATATGACGGTCAAAAATAGGCGAAAGAAATCCATGTTATTAAAAATCAAGTAAGTGGCTGACTTTGGGAGAGTAGTAATCAGAGAGAGGCAGAAGTGGGCCTTCATGAAGTGTTGTTAACGTTCTGTGTCTTGATGTGGGTGTTAGGATACAGGTGTCTATACTTTTTATTTATTGAGCTATATACTTACATTTTGCATACTTTATACTTCAATAAAAAGTTTTAACAAAGGAAAAAAAAAGATCCATAGAGTCTTCAAAAACAACCCTTCCTGGGCAGCCTGACTGTGTTAAACAACAGGGGCTTTCTGAAACAATATGTCATTTTCATTACATGAGACTTCTGGTTTCCCATTCTACATGTAAGGAGCTTGAAAGTCACTGCTCTGCATTAGCAAGAAATAAAGAGCTGAACAGACTAAAGTACCAACAAGTCTTCCTGGATCTGAAAAAGGGGCATGGACACGGGGCAAGGCGCTGCCTCCAAGACTGGAGAGACAGACAGGTGAGTAGAGAGAGTCATGGCTTACTACTAGGAGCAGAGTTTCAAGAGTGGAACCAGTTCTGGGGTAGGAAAACCTGAACTGTAATTGATGAGTTACTGGAAGTGGGTATGGAGAATTCTGAGAGTTAAAAACTCCAGATGGACCCAGTCGTAGGGAGCCTCCACACTTTTGTGAGCTTTACCTCTGGAGCTCTACCAGGCTCTCACCATAAATAATGGAGAAAAGTCCCCTCATGCTTCCAGAAGAGGGAGGAAGAAAGGAACCATTTTCAAACAGGCCTGAGCACTCTATTCTTGTTCACAAGGCCTATAGAAACTACTGACCAGAACATAACTGACCTGGGGAGAGGGAAGTACCCAAATCTAGCCAGCTCTCGCCTTCTACCTAGAATAAGGGAAATACCCTAGGATTTCCTGTCCCACGGGAGCGGAGCACTCTGAAAAACACTTCTGGAGTTCATAATCTAGAAGCACGGGCTCACTAATTTCACCACATGATTGCAGGTCCTAATCTCTCTCTTCCCCCATATCCTTAGATCACTCTCAGAAAAGTTTAAAAAATGAATAATGAATGGGTATACATACACATTTCAGTATAAGATATTCAACCACTATCTAGTGAGTTGGTGCTACCTGACTTGAGAAGCTTTGTAAAGAATATTTTCAACTAAAAAGCTCAAAAAGAGAATTAGCTTGACATACAAAAGGACATTTATCCCTGAAGCAACAAGCAAAGAAGGGAGTTACTCTACGGCCCACAACTACCAAGGGAAAATTGTTTTGTTGCTACACAACGGTGGCAGAAAATATTACATCTAGAACCCATGGGACTCTGTGGGTTGCCTCTTAGTACTTCCATGTCTGTCGGTAAAAGTTAACGGAAAGTTAAAGCAAACAAAATAAGCAGATCTGCTTGGGATTCACACACATCAGGAATGAAGGTTTGTGTCACCCCAACCAGATAAAGAACCTTACCCAGCTAAGTTCCTAGTTGAAAACAAAGGAAACACAATATTAAAGGTAATGAACTAAAGAAGTTATAAGTTTTTGTGACAAGTTACAGAAATGTGGACTGTAGCAGCTCTGCATATTTTCTTCCTTGCTTGTTATGAGTACGTGGTTGTGTAAATATTATGTATTTGTATATATTAACTTTTCTCTCTTTCCCTGTGCATTATTATTTTGTTGGAGGTTTCCTTTATGTTTAGCCTATAAGATAATATTCAAACAATTTAGAATTTGAGAAGTATTTAATATAGCTCACAACTAGATAGCAAATCAAACTTCCAGAGATGGATATAATGACTGTTGAAGCACTGTCTCCTCATTTTGAGAGGGTAAAAATGTAAAAAATAAAATAAAAATCTCCTAAAAATTTGCAGGATAAATTAAGAAAATAAACATACAAAGTGTAAAGGAGAAAAAAGAAACCTACATGACGGTGATGTGCACATAAAGACGGTTAAAAGAATTCAATAAAATAATGTTTTTCTCAATTCAGCATGTTTATTTCTTTATGCAAACTAAATATTCAGGAGACGAATATATGAATAAAGGGGAAAAACAGTTTGCAAGTAATGATTTTGGTGCAATCAACTAAAAGCAAAACAGAAAATTGAGATTTCCCGTGGAATGAAAAAAAAGGAAAATAGAAAAACCTTTAGGGCCGGCCCAGTGGCACACTGCTACAGTGTGCTGCTTGGGGAGTGTGGCGGCGCTCCCGCCGAGGGTTCGGATCCCACATACAGACCGGCGGCTCACTGGCTGAGCAAGGTGCGGGCGCAACACCGAGGGTTGGGATCCTGTTGCTGGTCCGGGTCCGGTACGGGCGCGACACTGAGGGTTGCGATCCGTTGCCGGACACGAAAAAAGACAAAACCGGCGGCTCACTGGCTGAGCGAGGTGCGGGCGCAACACCGAGGGTTGCGATCCGTTGCCGGTCACGAAAAAAGACAAAACCGGCGGCTCACTGGCTGAGCGAGGTGCGGGCGCAACACCGAGGGTTGCGATCCGTTGCCGGTCACGAAAAAAGACAAAACCGGCGGCTCACTGGCTGAGCGAGGTGCGGGCGCAACACCGAGGGTTGCGATCCGTTGCCGGTCACGAAAAAAGACAAAAAGGAAAAAATAAAATAAAATAAAATAAAAAATAAAACAAAGAAATATTACAAAAGACTCAAATACCTTTTCCCAAAAAGAACAATTCAACACACCCAACACCCCCATCACCACCACCACCACACACACACACACACACACACACCTAACTTTCATGCAGAGTGCACGCGCGCATACACACACACACACACACACACACACACACACAGAGTTAATACAGCCCTTCCCCTTTCACCAACAATTCATTCCAAATGCCATTAGATGGGGCCAAGCAAGGTAGGCAGCTGCACAGGGAGCGTGGCAGAATGAGGAGAATATCTGAGAGGCAGAGGAAACTTAGCAGGGAGTTTAAGAGACAGATAGACGAGGGGTAGGCAGGATTGGTGACAGCTCAACAAGGAGTGTAAAGTGTGAGCAAGGTAAGGAGGGTGAGCAGCAGGAAGCACAGTGGTGGCAATGGGACGTGGGTTAAACACAAAGGAAATGATGAAATAAATAAACATACTGGGAATATTTGGGTGCCACAAATCTATGACAGAAGGGAATCGTAAATTCAGAAAAGGAAAAAAAACACACCATATGTATTAATAGTAGAACTGATGATAACATAAAATTGTGGCCTTCAATATATACAAGTACATAAATAAACACAGATGCAAACGTATGCGTGTATACATGAGAGTATTTTATTTTCCTTATCTTGACGATTTGTGCTGTGGTTATGCAGGACAATACTCCTGTCTATAAGAATCACACAGAGAAGTAGAGAGAAAGGGCATCATATTGGCAACTTACTATCAAATGGTAGAGAAAAAAGTTCCTCGCACTGTAGGTACATGTAGGCTTTCTGTTAGCTTGTAATTATTTCAAAATGTGATATACTTAAAAATAAAAATTTAACATAATTACAATATTATTCATCTCTTTCAGGTCTAGCTTTTCTCTTGTAGTCTATCTTATAGACTCCCAAGAGTATATACAGATCACACCGTGTCTACGGGCAACACAGAATTACACTAATGGAGCTGTATGTTAATTATCATTTTTGCAAGAGAGCAATGGGTCAAAGAACATGTGCATCTTAAAATGATATTATCAAAGTACCATCCATAAGATATCAACAATTTATATGCACATAGAGAATGTTCTAAGGGCTGACCGGTTAGCTCAGTTGGTTAGAGTGCAGCTTTTTTTTTTTTTCCTTTTTGTCTTTTTCCGTGTCCGGCAACGGATCGCAACCCTCAGTGTCGCCCCCGTACCGGAACGGGACCGGCAACGGGATCACAACCCTCGGTGTTGCTCCCGCGCCTCACTCAGCCAGTGAGCGGGAACCGGTCTGTACGTGGGATCCGAACCCTCGGCGGGAGCACCGCCGGGCTTCCCAAGCGGCGCACTATAGCAGTGCGCCACCGGGCCGGCCCGAGTGCAGCTTTATAACACCAAGGTCATGGGTTCGGATCTCAGTACTGGCCAGCTACCCCCCGCCCCCCGAAAAAAAGTTTTAATCTGCCTGTTTCTCCATACCCTTTGTTGACACTGGACAGCAGCAAATGTTTGATGTTTGCCAATCTGCTAGGTGTAAAACTTTACCATTCTTGGATTGTTATCTCTATTTCTTTAACTAAACTGAGCATTTTCTGTTGTTTCTTGAATCTTTGGTCATTTATTTTTTGGATTAGCTCTTTGTACGTCAAATAAAACAACCTTTTGTCATCTGCATTACCAATAGAC